AGAATGTATTGGAGAATTTATTACAGAATATTGCATCACACAGGAATACATAACTCATAACATATTATAGAATATATTGGAGAATTTATTACAGAATGTTGCATCACATAATGTATTATAGAAATACATAACTCATAACTCATAAATTACATTCCAAACACTACTATCCTACACATTGTAGGCAGCCCACATCTGATGGGCTATCTGGTCTCGTAGGGTATTTCCATGGTTTGATTTCATCTCACTTGGGTAGTTAGTGTCTCTCTCTGGCATGTCGACATAATTTGATGGGTTGATATTATTAGGTAGGATGTCTAGCCACTCTTCACTCCCATTCAACCCTCTAATGATGTTGTGAAACACAGCAGCAGCTGCTGGAATCATAACTTGAGATTCAATTGGGTAATGTGTCCCCACTTTCAGAATTGGAAACCGCTTTTTGAGAACCCCAAAGGCCCTCTCAATGTGATTTCGAAGAATCGCATGCCGATGATTGATCAATTCCTTGTAGTTGGCATATGCATTTCCCCTCTGGCCACGTCTCCTGAACTCACTGAGATGATACTTAACTCCTCGGTAGGGAGCAAGGAATGATGGTGTGTTTGCATATCCACCGTCTACAAGATAGAATTTGCCTGCTGGCACAGTAAATCCCTTGCCAAGAGCAGACCGCAATACTCCTGCATCAGATGCGGATCCTTCCCAACCAGATGAGATGAAAGTGAACTTCAAGTCGAAGTCACAGGAAAACATAACATTCTGCGATAGTGTTCCCTTCCTATTTCTATAGGGACTGGCCTTGTCTTGTCCAATTGTGATTGGGACATGTGTACCATCGATAGCGCCGATGTAGTTCTGCAGGTAAGAAAATTTACTAAAAATTTGGATTGTATTTAGGAATGGTATTAAGGAAAGTGTACTGTATGTATTAACCGACCTGAAAGAATGGCATAAATCTAGGGTCACATGTAATCTTCATGTGTGTGTGGCTTGGATTCAGAAGTCTGATAAATTTTTGGGTTAATGTTGGAATGATATTGAAGACATCATATATTTTCCTATGCACTGTCTCACCACTATGTTGAAACTCCTTCTTTAGCCTCTCTGTGCTTGCATTATGAGAGAGCATGAACATAAAAAGACCAAGTTGCTCCTCAATCTTCATACCACGTGTGTCACGCAGCAAGTTCTCGGCCCTGAGAAAGTTTGCTATAGCTCTAAATATTTCAGCCTCCATCCTAAATTCTTCCTTGCACCAATTCTCATGTCCTTCGAGAATCTCTTTAACCTTTTTAGCACCAGGAAGAGAAGAGGTATGCTCAGGTGTTTTCTCTTCGTCGAGAAAGGGCATTACAGCAGGGAGAAGAATAAAGAATAGCTCTCATCTTCTTCTTCCTCTTCCAACAAAAATTTCTAGCAAGCTCTTCCCAAGAAGCCATCTAGTGTTACATATATGAAATTATATTATTACATATATATAAAATAAAAGGCACAAGGCCAATACTCAAGCACAAACAAGTCACAAGTGTCATATGTAATAAACTCAAGCACATCACAGGAAAATAAACTTCAACTATCATCGCCCCCATTGAGTGACGAGCTACTCAAGTCCGAAACCCGTAACCGAAGCCACCCCTTCAATGACTCCATGATTAACTAGTGGGCGAAAAACATTTACAAGGCTACATGCAAAGATCTCAAGTCTACATGGACCCTAACTAACTTTGCCCAATGACTAGCTAATTCATTGCACCTTTGGATAACTAATCACAAGGCTACATGCATCATCTCATCCATACCACAAAGTTCTCTGTACAAAATCAACAACAACTCACATAGTAGCATCAAGAAGTATTAAAAGTCTAAAAAGTGGAGAAAACATATAATCGTATTACAATGACACCTAATCATCCAGCAAACACCTACTCATCCAAGCATGCATGCATTCAATTTTTTTAGAACATGACCCGACAACAAAAAACGATGCGACCAAATTAGGAAAAAACAACAGTGGGGGGGAACTAACCTGACACTAGTGTCACCCCGTCCCAATACGCAGCAGAAAATCATTCCTGCAAAAGCATCATGCCCTCATTAGTCGAAGACTCTGACCCTAAGGTTGACTGTTGTAATTGACAAAGTGATTAGTCCTTTCCAAACATTTATACCAGAAGGAACACATCTTAGAAGGTGTGGTGATTTTTCAAGAGGTTTTGCATGAGTTGAGATATAGTAAGCACAAGATTTTCAATTTAACTTAGGGATAAAATTATAGCAACCAGTAAGATTAAAATTTCAAAGTCAGAACTTAGATTCATTGTTAGATCGTTTTGCTGGACAGAACGACATTATAGCAACCTACCTCAAGCAAGCAGACTTAGAAGAGCTATCAAGGGTTGGGGGTAAGATGATGAGTTATCAAAAGAAACTCAAGAAAGATATTATGAAGAGAGTAATTTCACAAATGTGCTAATGGCGTAAGAAGGAAGATGCAGATTACTATCTTTGAAGTGGATGGGCAGGAAACAAAGGATCCCCAAATGTCCGAGAACCCACATCACTGATTATTATAAAATGTTGTTTGGAAGTGTTGAGGTGGCGGATATGCATCTAGATGCGATTTATGGCCCACCACCAAAGAGATCGTGAAACCGACAATGAGTTCTTGACCGGACCTTTTCCTAATCTTTTTCGTAATTGTGTCACATCCAGATTTAGAGGTGTCCAAGGCTTGTGTGAATGGTCGATGGCATATAGAGTTCGGTGACGGTGAATGACATCTTGGTTGAGGAATGGGTTCCTTCTAGATCTCTTGAATGATATTCAAGCGTATGAAGGCAAAGATGAGGTTTTACGGTGCTGGAAAGAACCAAGAAATATACTTCTAGATCGTTGTATAGATTAATGACATATGGAGGCTACTGTGGACCGTTGTATGATGACAAGTATGGCAATGCAATATTCCTTTGAAGGTGAAGATCTTTCGTGGATGGCAATACATGACCGTATACAATGTGGAGTTCAAATGAAGAAGAAAAAGTGGGACAGGGCCCAAGAATGTTTCATGTGCGGCAAATTGGAAACTTCTGACCATATCCTATTCCGATGCCCCATAGCTGTGTTCCCTGGACTTTCCTGAGAGATTGTTTGGGTTGGGATGTGTCCCCAGTTAGTTGTGACTCCTGGGTTTGCTCCTCTAAACTTGCATGATTGCCACAGCTAAGCCCCCATAAACTTGAAAAACTAGGTGCTCAGCTCCTAAATAAACTGCATTCTATTTTCTCTACTGCAATGGGATAAAAGAAATGCATCAGTCACCATGTAGAAAATTGCTACTGCAGTGATCGGTTACTATACTAGTCTGCATGCTAGAAAATAGCAAGACTACCAAACGTCCCAACCAGTGTATGTCTGGACCGTTATAAGCATGCATATAGTTGTTGTGCAATGCTAGAAAAAAATCCATCACGACATGCCATCCTATTCTATTGCAATGGTGTTCTGAACACAGAAACCAGCTCACCAGTTGGATCTTTAAGCTACATGAAGCAATTGAGTTCTATTTTCACATCTATTTTCACATCACAAACAAGAAACCATAGAATCACAAACAAGAAACCATAGATCTACAAGAAGGGGTGTGAGATGCGGACAGAAGACTGACTTGTAGAGGCAGAGGTTGTGTCGTGTTGCTGGCGACGTCGGTGTTGCTCGCGGACGACACAATGGCTCACCAGATCTTGCGACGAGGCCGGTTAGTCACGGAGTAGTGGTGGAGCCGTCGTCGTCGGGTCGGCGGGCGGCGGATGAAGAGCTGTGCGAGCGGTCGCGATTCGCGAGCGGATGCATAGGGCGGAGTGGGGAGGAAGATGCGGCCATCCACAGTCCCAAGATCCACAAGAAACGTGTGAGGATAGGATCAGGAACCCTAGATGCGGTGCAGGGAGATGCAAGTGGAAGCGAGCTCACCTGCGGAGACGTAGATGCTGGTGCCGTAAGGTGATGGCGACGGAGGAGAAGTCGAGGCCGGAGGAGCCGAGGCGACGACGGAGAGGCGTCCGAGCTCGCGGACTGGTAACTCCAAGATCAACCAGAAAGAGATGTGGATGAAACCCTAGCAGATCGAGAAGCTTCTGTGGGGAAGGAGATGTGGATGGAGGTGGACTGACCGGTGATAACGACGGTGGTGGAGTGAAGTGGAGCCGGGGTGCGCCAACCAGGGAAGTCGCGGCGGCGGAGGCGGTTGAGGCGGGCTCACCGACTGGGCGGCGTCGCGAGTCGTGAGCGAGCGAGTCGGGGAAACCCTCCCGGCCTCACGAGTCGTGGATTCCTACCGCGGGGAAAAGGAAGGGAATCTGGCTGAGATCCTCGGGTGGGTGGGCTGCCAAAGGACGTAAAAATTTGGCCCGGGGAGAAATGGCACGGGGAAGATTGACACGAGGAAAACGCTAGAATCCCTCCGGGAAAGCGAGCTGCCAAAGTAGGCCTTATGTGGAAGTTTTAATGGTTACACATGAAGGGACTTGAGTTTGAGGGGAAGCAGGAGGAAGCCACAAGAAGGCTCATGACAACAAAGGAAGAACACACATGTCTTACGTGCCTTTTGTTTAATTCACACACACAATAAGGATCATGATAAAGCGCGACAAAACCACAAGAAGGCTCAAGGAGTAAACAAATATCAACCTTGTCTAGCTACATAGAAAATATTAATATGTATAACATTGAATACATATTATTAGATTAATTATATAATATCTTTTAAATAAAGTCTATTTAGAGATATAAATACTGATACTATTTTTTATAAATAAATAAATCTAGTTAATTATATAACCGGAAGGAGTACGCCTTTGGTAGACCGTTTGCGTAGAGCAGAAAGTGCGCAACTAGCACGTGCACAAACGCACGCAGCACACTCGGCCCTTGCATTCTCCCCGCGCATCCCTGCTAGTAAAACCCTAGCCCATCAGGGCAACGACCTTCTAGAACTTTCTCCAATGGCGCTACTCCGAGCGCTCCGGCGAGCCCTTCCGGCGCTCTCCACGCCGGCGGCGGTTCTCCCCCGTCGCGCCCCGCATCCACTTCCTCGTCCCCCCGCTCCTCTTCGGCTCCTGGATCCGATCGGGCTCCGCCCCTTCTCCGCGGCCGCCGCCGCCGTCACCGCCTCGCAGGCGCCGTCCATGGGGGCCACCCTCTTCGGCGGGCTCATGGACACCCGGTTCCCGAAGCGCCGGCCGGGCTTCGCCAACCGCCGGAAGAGGGCCAGCTTGCGCCCCAAAGGTGTGGAGGATTTCTCCAGCCTTTCGTTTCTAGCTGTCGAGATGCTTCGATCTTGCTAATTTTGCATTTTTTTATTCCATTCCTTAGAATTCCGCAGCTCGATTGAAGTGTGGCTGTGTTCTGTAGTTTATTTTCATAGTTTCTGTGAGGTTTGATGGGTTAAGCGTAGTATTTAGAAGAATTGTTTGTCTGTTTGTTCAATTGTGTCATTAATGTTCATGACGTTGTTCGTCCGCAGGTCCATACTACTGGGTGAAGTGCAAGCCTGACGAGCCCATTCCAGCTAGCCAGCCGAACCAGGGGAGCGTGCGAGGGAGGAAGGAGAAGAAGCGGATCAAGCAGCGCAAGGACTTTATCATGGTGAATACACTTTGCATTCTCTATAGCCATTACTTTTCTGTCGAGCTTCCTGCTACGATACTCTGTTTTATGCTATCTAAGCCTACCTTGAGGTTCCTTATGCTGGAAGGGAAAGACATTTTTGACCAATAAAATCTTGAGTTGATGGTAGACTGCCTAGCAGTCCCAAGTGTCACCATGAAATGGAACTACATATAACTCTATGTCACTCAGTTCTTTCCAGCGGTGCTCTGCAGAGTTTAAAATCAACCTTCTATTGGTTCACTGTTTTATAATCTGTTCCTTTTCCTGGACCCCAGGCAAGTGAATGAATAATCTAAGTATGGCATAGAAATACATTGGTAAACTGAAGTATGGATCTAAACAAGTCAGTCGGTATGCCTGAGTTGTGTTACCTGGGTCTGAGCTCTATATTTCTAGTTAGAGTTGATGTATCGCCCTTAGTTTCTAATCAAGTGCTTAAATGCATTCTTACTCGTACAGGCTGAGAAGAAGAAGCGCAGAGCACAGTATTCTGCTGCTGTTAAGAGAAAGGAGGCAGAACGAACAGAAAGGAAGATGGCTGCTGTGGCAAGAGAGCGGGCATGGGCAGAAAGGTTGATAGAGCTAAAACAGCTTGAGGAAGAAAAGAAAGCTGCAATGGCATAAGGGGCTGCTCTGGAAAATGGCAAGGCATCTAACTTGTTTCTGCTGCTCTATTTTCTCCCCCTTTTTTCCACATAGTCTAGAATGTCATAATTCTTGTGGTGGAAGGCTAGTTGTACCACTTCTTTGAATAGTAATATCAAATGCTGGAATTGGTGTTGATACTATTTTCATAAGTCCATGTTTGGAGTTTGTTTTCTTTGATGTATTTAGAGTAAGTGATGTGATGGTTTGTGTGCTGGAGACCTGGAATGACCATTGTCTTCAACATTTTGATACACTTATGCCATGATACAGAATTTGAAGCTACTAATGCTTGCTAATATATTGATCTTCCGAACTACCTCTGTCATCTGTTCCATCAGTTTTGAACTTTTGATGTATTGGATACAATTTTACATCGGATTGCAAAATATCTTAATGATAGTTGCGATTCTAGAAAAAGACATGTATGAACTTGATGTAGATTGGTATTCGGTATTCCACTGTCTCCAGTCATCCCAAGTGGCACTCTTCATTGTATCTCAGTTCCTGTCTGCATTACTCTTGTCCCACCTCTCCAAAATGTAGCTCCTTGACAATTTTGGTTTATGCTTGCGAGTGGTTGCTACATAATGATCCATGCCCTTTGCATGGTTTGACCTCCTCCACTGGAAGATTGCTCCTTTTACATCCATGAAAGCCATAGCCTATCAAGAGGTGGGGGTGCTCAGCAACATGGTCTGCCCTGGCTGCTTCCAACCAAGTCTATAAACTACTATACCTGTGATGGCCTCAATACAGCGTTTCATGATGGATCCTCAAGGGTTCTACTGTTCTAGGCATCTTTGAAACGGTTAGTTTCAATCAAATACAAACTTTTTAAATCTTATTGAGTGGTTTTCAATACTTTGAACTTGAAGATAACAGTTTACTAGAAATATGAAGTTTCAGCTGGGTTCAGGCTCCTACTGCTCTAAATCATTCTCTATTGGGGCCACATGGGTTCTGCAGTGACTATTCTTTTTTCTTGAACAACACAGGAGATCTGCATGTCATTTCATTAAGAGAGGAAAAAGGAAAACTTTACATAAACGGGATGGCTAGAAAAACCCTTCCAAACACTAGTTTCTTGCTAATGATGTGTTCCAGAATTCGCAATGGATAAGAATTGTAGTTTATATGTCCAGTTTGGAACACTAGGACACTAGGTACACCCCGTTGGACAACACAGTCATTCTTTCCAGCAGTTTCCTTGCTAGCAGCAGCAACAACAACAACAACAACAAAGCCTTTCCAGCAGTTTCCTTGCTAGACTCTTCTAAAATGACATGGGTCACAGGATACTTGGCTTTCAAAACACATATTATTTCAGAACTGGAGACACATCTGGTCCAATAAGCCCTTGACACCTTTTTGAGATTCTCACTTTGTGATTGGGGTTGTGTTATTCCGATTGAAATCAAATTGCTGTACCATATCTGTTACCAATTTTGTGTACAATAAAAGGTCAATGTGAATATATTCTATGACAATCAATACCAATAAAAGATGATCACCGTGACTGATTATGCTTGCATGAGATTCTTTTTTTTTATAATGTGCCAAAAATTGTTTATTGCTGGAATTCCTGTGAATATGTTTCTGAAACATTGCTTATCTGTGTTCAAATTCGGGCAATACTGCACCAGTGAAAAGTGGAAACTGTTGTAGATCAATTACCTGGAGTTATAAATGAACAGAAATGAGCTTTTGGAGACACATCTAGTTACAGTTAGTACTTGGGAGCAGTTAGTAGTTATGCTGTGGAATGTACAACAGTTTGACTCAAATGGAAATTATTTGCCTGTTTCTTACATCTTGCATGAAGTTTTCATATACGTTATCATGCAGCGAATCTTGCAATTGTGCTGCACAGTGAATAAAGGTTTAAGTGCATCAAAATTCCATGGCTACTGAATAGCCTGTCTCCAATTTAACTTCAGTGTAGGGAATCCAGTGCTATCATATCATAAGGTAGCCATGTTCAGAACATATTAAAATATAGAAGTCACGCCAACAGTAGAATAGGCATAGCTGCTTGTGTGGTTTGGTTTCCCCCATACACATGGAGTCACTTCTGTCCTGAATTCGCCATATATAATTCTACATGATACAATGTTGGCTACCATATTGCAAAAACTAGGCATCTCTTTTACTTCATGGTTTAGTCTCCTTAACTCAAATATCTACAGAAGCTTAATTATGCAGACCTGGAAGAAGCTGTACAACTTGAAACAAATAGAGTACTGCAGGGGCTAACACAGCTCTCAAGTATTATTATCTTTTCAATATAAGATAGGAGCAAAATATCATACAAACATTGAGAAGCTAGAGCTAGCCTAGTAGAGCTGTTCTCTTCTACCACGGAACCATCGCCACCTACAGCAAACAAAACCACAAAGCAGTGTTAAAAACCATAGAAAACAAATAGGGATAAAAGCTGGGATATATATATACTGCAAAAGAATAATTATAGTTGTGATGAATGTAGCGATACAATAGAAAACTCTCTCTTTTATCCTTGATAAATGACTTCATAATGATTGATGTTTTCTTTTGGTCATGGGATTGTTTATGCTCCATAAGCTTCCTTACCTTATCCTTTTGCCTATATATTTTTACATTTTCAGTGATAAAATCAATTTTACGAGAAAGAGGTGCTAAATGGGAAAGAAGGGAGTAAACAACTGAACTATTTTGCTTAGAGTACCAGTAGTAGTCCCAGCGTGGGTTTATCTTGGACATTTGGTTTACCCCGTATGGGTACTCGGACAGAGAGCGGCGAGCGTTTCTGAAGGCGCAGCAGCCACAAGCGCAGATGCAGATGAGAGCGGCGAGCACGATGACATTGAGGACAGAGATCTTGTGCCAGTCCTGGCGGATCTGCTCCATCACACCGGCCTTGCACGAGTTGCACTGGTAGCAGAGGATGTCTGGGGCATTGTTCCACCGGTAGCAGTCCTCATCCTGCGCCCCGACAGGCATGCCTCCACTGTATTGGCACGCTGTTGGTGGCTTGCAGCAGCCAGACTGCAGGATAGTTCACAGTTGCAGCGCATTATAGTAGAAGGCAGAAGCAGCTGAAATACTGAAAATACTAGCAATAGACAATCAATTCAGGTTTTAACAGAATAGAGATTGGTTGCACTATGAATACTGAAAGAAAACAGAAGCAACAACAGAGAGAAATGAATAGGTAATAGAATAGATCAGCGGTGAGGTGCAAACCTGTATTGGCGTGAGATCATGCTGGAGGTAATCCATGGGAGTCCAGTTTTCAATCTTGGGACAGGCCTTGGACCCAACTACACAGGCGAGGGCTGGGCGCCAGTACTTGATGTCCTGCATGTGCTTCTGGAGCCATGAGGAGTAGTCAGTGATGTGGTACTCCCTGTAAGGTCTACCATACACCTGTGTGCCTCCGCCTCCTGCCGTGACTGCGAACCCGAACGCGGTGAGCCCAAGAAGGAAAGCGATGAGGAGTATGATGGCGACGAGGTACAGCCACAGCGCCCAGGCGACATGGAAGCAGGCGCCCACAAAGCCAGCAAGAGAGATGAGGAGCACGACGAAGCCGATGACGAGGAGCGGCGTCTGCAGGATCGACGAGCACGTGGTCGTGGAGCCCTTGGCCAGCCAGAGCCCCGCCCCGATGATCGGAATTGAGGCGAGGAGAGTGGCCAGGTTGAGATAGCCAATCATCACGTTGCTCATGCGGTAAGGGTACATCTTTGACGCTGTTTCTCCCTGCTCTTGATGTTGTTTTCTTGGGTGCTCTGTGCTTGGTTTATATGATGTGGCTATGATTGATGATGCTGGGTCATGCTCTTGGTTTTGGCGTGTCCCAGCTCTACTGGTTTGGGTGGCGCTTCTATGAGTGGTCTGGTACAAGCGTGAGTGCTTTTCTTTTCTTCTTCCCTTGGACAACTTTTTGATCCCGATGACTGTGCATGCGCCTCCTCAAGTGGTTTGCTTGGGTGTATTCTATGCTTGGCTTTGCTCTGTGGTGGTCTGTCTTTAATAATGCTGTGTTGGTTTTGGAAATCTTAGGTGCCTCTTGCTTTCTTTGCATCCTCACTCTTTTATTGAATCTTTTAGCTCTTTGCACTACCATCTACCATCCTGACGTGTGTATGTTTTCTTATGGTTGCCTGCCGTGTTTTGTGCCTCTGCCCTCTAATTTTCTCTCTTTCAAATATCTTTTGTGCGTGAAATACAGTTCTGCTGCTGTTCAATTTTTTGAAGCTTCTGTTGTTGGGAACATTATACCAAATCCGGAGCACCAAAGAAGCGTATTGTTCTATTGTCCCATGAGTGAGTTTCTGTAGTAATATGTCAAAGGGGCATCTGTTCATATCCACTTGCTACAGTTTGCTTGTATCGTGGAATAAGAATAAAACATCCCTTCGATTTGAATTTGTTCCATGGGTATCGATTCTGCTCGAAAAAAAGCTGCAGAATTATGGTGGGAATTGTTGGGATGTGTGAGCGAGGATGCCTTAGCCCCAACTTGATGCTTAATCATGAAGTAAAAAACTGAAAAGGTTTTGCAGTTCTTGGTTCTGGGCTCTCAAGGATGAGGGAGGGGAGGGGAGGGGAGGGAGGGAAGATGCCCTTTGGCATGAATGAGTTCAAGTGCATGAAGCAATTCTGCTTTATGGCCGCATCATCCCAGTATTCGCTTTGCAAGTAAAGAAGGGCCTTAGTTGTCTTGCCCAGGGCATTTGCAAATTAAAAAAGTCCGCCATATGCGCCTGCTTTTGCTGCTTTGCTGACTGATTTCCTTCTCTCTTTTTTGCCCTTTCAGCAGGATAAGCTCAATCAGGTGGAGACAGCGCTTGGGATTTGTTCAGACTACGGCAAATGGGGGCGCTAAGAATTTCTTTGGTGGCTTGAATAATGGCGGCTTGGTTGGTTACTTGGTTTACGTCGGCGCCCTGCTTTTTTGGTTGCTTTTTATCTTGGGTTTCTGATGTGAAGGAATGTTGTAATGCTTGGTAGACAGAAAGCGCACCAGGCGTCCGAATCCAGGAACGTCGAGCTGCTCGAGAGCTAGCTACTCTGCAGTATTCTACTCATGTACTGCATTCTGCAATGCTGTTACGTTTGCCTTTGAGAAAACGAGGGTTTATGCTGCTATGTTGTGGTTTAAGCCTCGCAGGCGCAGCTGTCAGCTGGTGATGCTTGTTTTGAGGTCCTGGCGCTGATACAATGGCTGCCTTGAGTATAAGTACTTAGTCAATGGCCAGCATGCTGTTTGAGCTCTGAAACATGGAGGAGCATTAACATGTTGTGATGGAATCACGGAATCAGCGTATGATGAAACCGAAGTGTGCAGGGACGAAGGAATCGAAATCAAGCAAGTACATGTACATGCAGCGCAAAGGCCAAAAGTCCTGACGCAATGATTCACTTGTGATTGCGTTGCAGCCTGCACTGCAGGGGTGAGAAGACGACGATGAGTAGTGCCAGTGCGGCAGTGCCCAATGGTGACTGTGCTGTGACGAGGGGAGATCCAGAAAAGGGTAAAGCTTGTCGTGTGGGAAAAAGTCGAAATGGGAAAGTGCTGCGCCACTGTACCAGCACTGAACTTTAGCAGTTAGCTCGTGAAGATCCACGGAACTAGGGAAGGTCTTGTTCGGTTAATCCCTCTCCAAAGGGATCGAGCGGGATTTAGGAGCTGCAAACTACCACTTCAGAGGATAATTGACTGATTCATGACATGAATCACATATTTCTCTCAGCTACTAGGCAAGTAGTCCAGTGACCTGACAGCAGTATTCATCTAAATTACCCTTTAGTCCGTTTAAACAACATTTACACGGTGAATGAAGACCGTCGGTATCATTTAGGCCATAAATGGTGAATTAAATGGTTGGACCATTTAAAAGTAAAAAACTGTCTAAATAGTCTAAGCAGAATTAAATTAATTAAAAACGATTAAATGAGCTTAACATATTTATCATTTAGTCATTAGAAAAGATTATATCTACCACATTTCTAATTAACACCATAGATATAAGAGGTGGCGGGATTAGTCTTTTTAAATGTTTAATAGAACATTTACTTTTTATATACATAAGTATGTATGTTTTTCTAGCATGTTTGATTTTTGTATACATAAATATGTATGTTTTAGTGCTACTATATAAAACTGTTTAGACCATTTAACCCATTTAATTACCATCTAAACAGCCTAAACCCTAAACAAAGGTGAACGATGACTATATAAAGAGCATCTCTACTAGATCTCCTTATTTCTTCTCCCATATAAGTAGTTATAGGAGATCTCTCAAAAATAGCTTTAGGATATGAGAAGCATTTGCTCCAGAAGATTACTCAAACCTCATCCTGAGTTAGGAGAGGGCGAAGTCTCCCCTTTCTTTAGGAGAGATGGTGGTGAATTTAGGAGATCTCCTAAAGAATATATGGATAGGAGATGTGATAGAAGATCTGTTGCAGCTGTTATATTTTCTATTTAAACGATAGAGGAGAGTATAGGAAATCTAGTCGAGATGCTTTAACACTGGCGCCAGGCCATCTCAAATCTTAGGTCACAATGGGATCCATTGGCTTGCAAATAAGCAAAACGAAAAGATACTTTTACTTGGGGCCCCACAAGGGTTATTATTAGTTTTCAGTTCACGGAGCGGGTTTCAAATGGAGCACGGCAACAACTCTGTCTCTCTCTGCGAAATTGCCAACGCAGAAGAAGAAGAAAACGGATCTGATAGAAGGGCCCAATCTACTCACACGGAAACCACCCTGGCAGTGCTCGTCCAACTCCTGGGCCGTATCCATCCACAACGCTTCGTTACTTCTCTTTTGGGCCGCCCTAGCTTGGGTCCCAGGCATTACTGAGGCCAACCACGAGAGAACTTGTCGGCCCATTCTGTTGTCACGACATGCATGATTGCCTGATCATAAATCTCATCCTGTACGCTAGCCAGGCAGGCCACAGAAGAGGACAGCAAAGCGCATGGGCAGCACGGAGATGTGTGCCTTTGTGTGAACGCAAGTAGCCAAAAGCGACCTGTACACTCCTCCGTCCTACTCTGGAATTTGGAACGGGTCCCGTTTCAACTTTTCTTCATGAGTAGAAGAGTTGGAACGGGTTCCGTTAAGGGCTTTGTTTAGGGTAGCTGTAACTTTTGGACTTGGGACAAGCTCAGCCTTTTGTCCGCAATCAGAAAGCAGAAAGTTAAAACTGCATTCCTTAGAGCTTAGCCTAGCCCTGTACAATCAACCAATTTGGCAGGATTCCGACTCTGGCTCTTCGGAGCAGCTTCTGTCACGGAGTTAAAGCCATTTAGAAAAAAAAAAAGTTTGACAAGAACGACTTTAGTGGTAGCTTTATTAGAATTTCTGCCAAATTTATAAGAAAAATTCGAGAGAAACCACGGGCTTGTTCGCTTGAAATTATCAGCTTATCAGCTAGAATCTATAATATTTTTCTCTTACAACAAAATAGCTTTAGTCAGCTTATCCGCCCGCTTTAATACCAGCCAAACAGATCCACGTTTTTGCGACCTAGTTCCTCACTAGAAAAATGACTGTCCTTGGGATTTGTACAAGGAGTTGTTTCTCGTACAACCGTCTGGCAGGGCTTTAGCAGAAGCTAGAGCTGAAGCTGCTCCGTACTCCCAAACGGGCATGAATGCAGTTATCTAAACGATCTTATTATTGTGTCAATTTGAACTACTTACTTTTGTTTAACCATAGTACTCCCTCGGTTGCTCCATCGTAAAATAAATAAAATTTTAAAATCATAATAAGTCAAACTACTTTAAGTTTGATCAATTTCATAGGGACATATAAAAACATCTAATGCACCGGATAAATGTATTATGAAATTCATGAAACATCTAGTGATATTAGTTTGGTACAGTAAATATACTTTATCTACAAATTAAGTAAAATTAAAGTGATTTGAGTCAGAACAACTGTAGAAATTATTTAATTTGGGACGAAATGAGTATTATCCCGTGATTTAAGGTTGGCGCTGTACCAACTGCCAACTAAACAAGCATGTTGTCACTGTGCAAAAAGGAGAGATGTGAGAGTTACATGTACCACTACATGTATATAGTACGTCTCAAATTAAACAAGCAGTGGTAATGTAGTGGTAGATGTGCCAATTGCCAACTAAACAAGCATGTTGGACGAGCATGCTTGTTTAGTCGGCCCTAGGAGGTTGTCGCTGTGCAAAAAGGTGATCTCCTCCGTGGCGATGCAGTGGTACATGTAGCTGAGCCCTGTTCAGCTTGTTGAAATTTGGCTGAAACTGATTGAAAAATACTGTTCTAGCTGAATTGTTGTGAAAAAAAAATACTGTTCTAACGGAAAAAAGAAGTCAAATAAGCCGGCTTCTCACTAAACCGAACGGGCCGATCGTAGGAGTACTAACCTTGTGTTTTGAGGTTGGTGCTAACTAGCAAACATGTCGCTGTTCAAATACGGAGAGAGACGTGGATAGGCATTAGGCAAGGCAATCAAAATTAGGGCGCGTTTAGTTGGCGAAATTTTTTTGTTTTAGCTACTGTAGTACTTTCGTTTGTATTTGACAATTAGTGTCTAATTATGGACTAATTAGGTTCGAAAGCTTCGTTTCGCGATTTCTCACCCAACTGTGCAATTAGTTTTTTTTTCGTCTACATTTAGTACTCCATGCATGTGCCGCAAGATTCATAATAAGTCAAACTACTTTAAGTTTGATTAATTTTATAGGGACATATAAAAACATCTAATGCACCAGATAAATGTGTTATGAAATTCATGAAACATCCAGTGATATTAGTTTGGTACAGTAAATATACTTTATCTACAAATTAAGTAAAATTAAAGTGATTTGAGTCAGAACAACTGTAGAAATTATTTAATTTGGGACGAAATGAGTATTATCCCGTGATTTAAGGTTGGCGCTGTGCCAACTGCCAACTAAACAAGCATGTTGTCACTGTGCAAAAAGGAGAGATGTGATAAACATGGCCTTAATTAAACACGGAGGAGTTGGTGCCGTAGCGTGGCGATCCGTCTCATCCGAGTCACCTCATCATAAGCTCACTCAAATAGTCAAATTGGTGCCCCTACTGCGGATGGATAACAGCAACAGGTCCATCCGATGCGATTCGATGCGATCCGGCAGCCAGGCAGTTGGCAGGCTCCCATGCTCGCCTCCCAACCCGAACCCATCACTGCGTCTGCGCCGCCGCCTACTACACCTCCAGCTCATCCGGAGGAGGGGGGAAGGAAGACGAGAGCAGACGCTACAGGTTTACCCACCACTACACTATCCCCCTCCGCTCCGCCTCCGCATTAGCTAGCTACCCCTTGCACTGACAACCCAGCCGTTGGTTTGCTTTGGTTACGTGCCGCGCTCCGCTCCGACCGAGACGATGCAACGGTGGCTCCCGGCGCTCCTCCGCCGCGCGGCGCCCGCGGTCTCCGGCGGCGGCGGCGCGGCGCGGCTCTTCGCCTCGTCCTCCCTCCTCTTCGACGACACGCAGGTCCAGGTGCGTCACGCGCTCGCCCCCTCCCTCCCTCGCTCTCTTCACTTTCACTTTCCACTCGGCCGGCGGGCCCGCCGCCGCCATTGCGCCTCGCCCGTTGCCTGATGGACCCAATTCCTCACCCGCCCGGCTGCTGGCAGTTCAAGGAGAGCGTGCGCAAGTTCGCGCAGGAGGCCATCGCGCCGCACGCGGCGGCGATCGACGCCTCCAACCACTTCCCGCGGGAGGTGGACCTGTGGAGGCTCATGGGGGACTTCAACCTCCACGGCCTCACGGCGCCCGAGGAGTACGGCGGGATGGGGCTCGGCTACATGTACCACTGCATCGCCATGGAGGAGATCACCAGGGCCTCCGGCGCCGTCGGCCTCTCCTACGGCGCCCACTCCAACCTCTGCATCAACCAGCTCGTGAGTCAAAGTCACTGCCCCTGCTGCCCACTCTGGTTATGGATTTGCCGTGACACACACACCGCGTTGACCAAATCAGTTCGTTGGTTTACTTAGTACTCATGCGTAATGCTACTTGTGTGTTCTCCGTGCAGGTTCGGCACGGCAACCCGGAGCAGAAGCTCAAGTATCTGCCCAAGGTGCTGTGCTTTCCCAGATTTGCTTGCTTCAAGGATGCTCACTGCTAGAATTTCGAATTCTCGTTTTCTATCATGATGGGTTAGATTCATGCGTTTTTGCCTTCTCTCTGAAGCTCATCAGTGGGGAGCATATCGGGGCACTGGCGATGAGTGAACCCAACTGTCAGTACCATTTCACTCCCATTGCTGTTCTCTAGTTCCAGTTCAAATTTAAGGTACCTTCTGACGCGTTGCCGAAATGCAATTTCAGCTGGCTCTGATGTCGTCAGTATGAAGTGCAAAGCTGAGAAAGTGGACGGTGGCTATGTCCTTAATGGGAATAAGATGTGGTGCACCAATGGGCCGTCTGCTCAGACACTGGTATTTTCCTGCGGAGGGGCTCTTCTTACATCCATTCCCCTCTGCTTTCTGCACTCATGTTATCCTGCTAATTCATCCATGCTGGGATTTTACAGGTCGTTTATGCAAAAACAGATCTAGCTGCAGGATCAAAAGGAATAACTGCATTCATAATCGAGAAAGGGATGCCCGGGTATAGAATCACTCCATTATCTTCATTGACATGATTGAACATGACCGCATATATTTCTACAGCTTTCTGGTCATGTTACTGATGGTCCTTGTTTATGACTACAGGTTTAGTACTGCTCAGAAGTTGGACAAACTTGGCATGAGAGGAAGCGACACGTATGATGTTTCTACTTGCTCAGGATAATTATAAAAAAATGGTGAACTCGGGCCCAATTTAACAGCATCTAATCTGCAGATGTGAGCTCGTTTTTGAGAACTGCTTTGTGCCACGTGAAAATGTCCTTGGTGAAGAAGGCAAAGGTATTATCTCCTGACTGTTTTGACTAGGCGCTCACCTGTGATCTCTATGCCTTCTCTTTTCGCAGGTGTTTATTCTATGATTTTCTAAACCCCATATGAAACTAGAACTACAAAGAGTTCTTCAACTAGATGCTCACCTTCGATCTCTATGCCTTTTCTTGTGGCAGGTGTTTATGTCATGATGTCAGGGCTTGATCTGGAAAGGCTTGTATTAGCTGGGGGTCCTATTGGGCTTATGCAGGCATGCCTTGATGTTGTACTTCCATATGTTCGCCAGAGGGAGCAATTTGGCCGTCCAATTGGTGAATTTCAGTTCATACAGGTAAATCCTTGTAGCTGTCATGTGTTCTGTTTTCTCGTGCTTCATGGTGCAATAATTTATTAGTGCAAACATGGCACTAACGATAAAGGGTATGCTTGTAATGCAGGGGAAAATGGCTGATATGTACACCTCATTGCAGTCGTCAAGGTAGGATCTTGCTCAATATTTTTCCTTACAAGTTTAAACATCTTATCACTACAATTTCAATTTTCCATCAGATCATTTGTATACTCGGTCGCTAGGGACTGCGATAATGGCAAAGTTGACCGCAAGGTACCCTTATAAGTTTATTAGATATCATTGATGTTCCTCTGGAGTTCTGTTTTTGCATTACCTGCATGTAGTTCTGCTGTTAAAGGCAAATAAACGACTAGTTAGATGTATATTATGGTAAACTCTCGCCATCTTCATCTCATATATATATCTTTTTAATCAGGATTGTGCAGGAGTAATTCTCTTTGCTGCTGAAAATGCAACCCAAGTTGCACTTCAGGTAAAACCCTTCTCTTCGGTTTATTGTAAATTGTGTTAACCCATATTGCTGTGTTGTTTTCTCATGAATTCCCAAGGATGCAACTAAACAGCAGGCACCCACTCTGTTTCGCTCCCCTGGGAAAATAATAGTTGACCTAGGAATTTTGCATTTGTGTTACAGTTATCATAAAGCTCTATTTGTCCTTGTCTGATAAATGCTTATTACAGAATCAATCTCTTCCAATAAAAAACATATCATAAACCATAACATGTTTTTTTTTATACTTTGAACTAATAATTTGTAGTCTGCACCATTTTTATATGTTCCCCTAACTCTTCGTAACTCTTTCACTATGGCAGGCAATCCAGTGTCTTGGTGGAAATGGGTACATAAATGAGTACCCAACTGGTCGTCTCCTGAGAGATGCAAAATTGTTTGAGATTGGTGCTGGTACTAGTGAGGTAAGACGAATGATAATTGGCCGTGAGCTCTTCAAAGAGGACTGAAATTTCTATTTTGCAAGCCAGATACCAGTGCATATTGTTAACTGGAGGAGGTGAGCGAAATTTAGATACTTAGCAAATCACCCCTGTGGTTCAATAGTTCATTCCGTGCTACGCTAGCACTCTCATGCTTTTGTATAACTGCAAACACACATCAAATAAAATTCACTTCCTTGTACTTGCTGCTTGCAGTGGTTCTATTTTTCAATCAATAAAGTTTTTTGATACAACTCTGTGACTTATGCAATGTTGGTCAGTTGCATTTTATCATATTAGTATAGACGAGAAAGTAATATAAATGTTTCAAGAAGTGCAGAATAGAGGCATTGCTTTTATAAGGAATCTTCACATCAAGAATATTTTAGTAGCTTCTCCATTTTGATGAATAATAACATCGGCACAAATTAGTTGAGGTGGTGAATTTGAATATTTGATAGACTTTATCCCATAACTGGTTTTAAAATTAAGTTTACGTTGATAGCCACGATAACAGCTCTCCAGCACGTTCGTGAAAAATAGTCGCAATAGTATGAATCTCTCTTTTGGTGGAGGAAACATGACAATAAAAAAATAGAATACAGCTACTGACCAGAATATTCTGACAACACAATCAAGAATTGCACACTGCTTTAAAGACGTGAAATCTGAGTAGCTTATGTTTTTCAGTGATGTATCATTATGCGAAGCTACAAGAGACTCTTTCTAAACATTGATGCTGCATAGTAAATAATTGATCACTCTCTCAAGCTTTAGGGTTCTATTGACTCAAGTACCTCGGTGGACTTCACCAAAGTGTTAATACTGATGCTTCAGGTCAAGGCCTGCTTGGATTGAAGGGTTTAGGATAAAAACTCCTGGATCAATGCTCCCTTCCCGAACAGGCTCTAAGTCTTTTGAAAAAATCTAGCTGGTAGTAGAAGAGATTCGAAGAGACACTGTCACTTGCCCACTTGAGTTTTTTCTAACGCTTTGAACCATTGTAGCTAGAGAGTATTAGCGTAACAGTATAACCTCATTGTGCTCCTCTTTCCTTCTCCTCTACAGATGTTAGATAGAAGGGCAAGGCTAATCAGTATTATCATAGACCCAAAATTGGTCTAAATGTATACAAGATGGAATAAGAATTCCTTCCTGATCCAACACATACATGTTAACAGCAAATACTATAGATCCCTTACGTCTTTATGAGAGAAAAACTTCATTTACAAACTCTAAGCTATGTGGGACAATTTGGCCCCAAGGCTTGCACAAAATTGGAGGGTTACAAGTCAGTGGGTAGCCTAATGCACAACAGAGGTTTTTTACAATCTGCTGGCTTCTGGAGGGGATGTTGCACCTTGACTTTGAGCTTTCTTTTCTGGACTTTGAGCCTTCTGTTTCTGCCTCAATGAGCCCCACTCAATGGCCTCAGCTACAGCCTTTTGTCGATTGTATGCATCCTTATCTTGCTTAGCGCTACCACTATTAGTTAGTGAGGGATCTCCAACTTGTTTCATTTGGAGTATAGGGCCAGATTTGTGTTTATAGCCAGCAGGCATTTCTGCAAGGAATCCCAGTGCCACAACAGCATCACTCATGTAAGGCCGGACTGAGGCTTCCTCTTGTAGGCACATTGCTGCCACACCCACAGCTTGGCTCAAGTCTTTTTCTGGGTACTCACCTCTAAGATTAGGGTCTACTAGTTCATTGTACCTCTTCCTGTCTCTCAGCAATGGCTTGACCTGTTGATCATAGATGAATTTGTCAGAAAACCTTGTGCCAGAAATCTTCTTTGGGTAATTCCTAACTGAGGCTTTAGTATTTATTTCCATGTGTTCCATTGCAGTTGTCAGCTACATTATATAACTGACCACTGCAATGAACACAATGGGCAAGCAAGTTCTGAGTTTATATGTGGAGTAATAAAATAGAAGTGCGTACCCAGTTAACCAGGATTTGTTCATTTGCTGGCCTGGAGGTGTCCACCGCTCTTCTTCCTGTGATCAACTCCAGTAGGAAAACTCCAAAACTGTACACGTCAGTCTTGACAGTTAGCTGGCCTGTTCTTATGTATTCCGGAGCACAGTACCCATATGTTCCCATCACCCGAGTGGAGATGTGTGTCTTTCCCCCGACTGGACCAAGCTTTGCGAGCCCAAAATCTGAGAGCTTAGGGTTGTACTTTTCATCAAGAAGGATGTTTGGGGACTTGAGATCCCGGTAAATGACAGGTGGGTTCGCCTTCTCATGGAGGTATTCAAGCCCTTTAGCAGTTCCATGAGCTATCTTCATCCTGAGATACCAACTCAGTGGCACTTGATCAGGAGTGCTATCTGCAATGGTAATTCAAATTTGAACATTTAAGTATCTTGTTCACCATATTATAAAATTATGTAGCACTGATATAGTGATATCTGAATGTGTTAGTGAAGACAAAAGACTACCACTTACCAAGCAGGTGATCTGCAAGTGAACCAAGTGCCATGTACTCATACACCAGAAGCCTTTGATCTCCATCTGCGCAATAGCCAACCAAATTGACTAGGTTTGGATGGTGCAATAGACTGAGCATCAGGACCTCAACTAGGAACTCTCTGTTGCCTTGATACCCATTCAGGTCTAGTTGCTTGACAGCAACAAGCTGTTCATGCAAACCGAAAACAAGTCAGCCACTGGTTACTGTAGATCAATTAGCAAGTGTGTGTACGTAGGATGTTTGAATGTTTTTCTGTGTGGTGTGTACCTGTCCATTTTCAAGCTTGCCCTTGTATACCCTGCCAAAGCCCCCTTCTCCAAGGAGGCAGTCGGAACGGAAGTTCTTTGTAGCCGTGGCTAGCTCACGGAATGTGAATGCTTTTGCGGTTTTGGAAACAGAACAACTTCCTTTAGGAGGTTCAATGCTTGTTGCTGTTTCAGATGATGGCTTGTGCTTGTGCTTTGAAGTGACTGGTGATGGCCTGACGGACCCTGCAAAGGTGAGTGGTAACCTGCATTAGACATAGATTTCGATTGTCTGCTCATTTAGTAGTTCAGATTCTTCTTGTCATTTGCTGAACAAATTTGAAGAGCATGTATATGAATATGTTATATCACTGAAAGCCAATTTCATCCATAACAGTTAAGAATTAGACATGAATTGCAGTGGGCAGAGCTCCTGCCATTATTTTCAAAAAAAGGACATGAATTGCAGTAGTATGTATAACACCAAAATACATGTGACACTGACAGGGAAACAGATAGTGCACAATATAATTGATACATAGATTCGGTTCAGAGGAATATATACATAATCCAGATGGAACACAGTGGCACAGGGGTGTTGTTTCGTCCTTAAACAAAGATACACTGAATGGTCGGTATTTTCAGGTCTAAAAGCATCTGCACAGGAAACCACTGACCCTGCTAACAGTATATATAGATTGTTTAACCACAGGTTCCAGCTATAAAATTGATGTGCAGAAGAACAGGACGTATTGGGGGATTGCAGATTTTGGATCTTTATACTGCTGCATTGTATTTAATTTGTTTCTTAATTGTTTGATCTGTTTGCCGACATGGCTCCTAATAATCGTATTTTATGCCATCAGTTTGAACAGTACAAAACATGCTAATTCCTTATTTCTCTTTGCAATCAGTGGCAGGAGCATCTTATGATCCTTACCAGATTCCCTGGGAGGTGCTTCATTCTGGCTCGGGGCCTTCTTCACAGCCGTGACCTCCCTGGATTCCAGCCTCCGTGGAGGCACCTTCTTCTCAGGCTTGAAGCATCCAAAGCAGCTCATCTTCTCCCAACTGCATGTATCAAACCTTGGATCCCTAATCCTCTCCGCTCTTGCAGTTGGTAAACCTCTTCCCTCTCTCTATAACGCACAGACCAATCTGCAGACCTCGTTGTGTGGACAATGAGAGCATGCGTGGGAGTCTATATGCCGCATCATCCTCCTCCCTCCCTCCCTCATTGTGCTAAAGACCTCGCATACAGGCTATCGATCGGTGTTGGTGTTTTGTGCGCGGTAAATGTGATCTCTGTGGGGAAATGTGGTCAGATGGGATGAGCATTGGCTTCATGCCTTTGCGCGGAGGAGGATTTGCTGAGCCAAGAATAGGCTCTGGGGGGTGCTAAACTTAGAAGCGCTTTGCGTCTTCCAGGATCTGTGTCCCAGCTAACGCGCTGGATGTGATGTCTTCCCTTGGAAAGTCCCAACTCCATCTAGGAAGAAAACACCGCTGGATTGTTTCTTTTTTGATAGAAATGTCAATTACATTGGAACACGTTGGGTTTTTACTCGGTGATAAACTAGCTGCCAGTTGAGTTGAGCTTGATAAGCTCGGAGCCTCATCAGACGTTGTTGTTCCGATTTTGGTAGGTGTCGGTTTTATGTGGATACCTACCTGGTTTTACAGACAGAGACGGTAGCCAGCCACTGCACATAGGTTATCGTTCAGTTCCCTTGTCTGTACTCGATCTGTCTATTTGCAGTTGCAGGCGCCCGCTGCTGCTGTGGTTGTGTGGTGGCAAAACAACTGGGCTCTTTTTAGGTTTTGATTTGAATCATGGTAAAAGAAACAGAAATTTAACTGATTTCGACAGGCTCAAGGGACATGGATTGTCTATTGTCTGGTAGGATGGTTGCACGACCTGATAGTCCTTTTCTGAATCTCTGATCCAGGCCTGCAGGACACGTGAGAGGCTGTACAGTGGGCACTGCTGCCCTTTTCAGGCTGTGACTGTGATGCAGCAGGAATACTGGCTGGCCATTGGCCATGCGTACAATCCCCATGCACAAGTGTGAGATCTGTTGCTTATATAATTGATAATTTGATATAGATCTGGAAAAAGGTAAAAATGCACGGACGGTCCTTAATTAGTCTGTTGAGAGGTTGCATCTGGTCCTGAGGTATCCTAGTATGTGTTTTCGGGTCCTCGAATTTGTCATGGACGTTACCTAGATCCTAAACTTTCAAAATGTAATTTCCGAGTTCTCATTCCTCAAAGTTATAGGGTGTCATCGAGATCCAAACAG